GATTGTTGGGGGCAATATGCTGACTCTCTGTAAACCGCTTAGAGAGGCCTGAAGGCCTATGAAGCGGTATATAAGTCTACTGCTATTGCTAACGTGTCCATCCTTCCATTTCGGAGGACGAAAGGGCATAAATTTACGACTGTAACTCCGGTCGACAGTCGTAAGTCAAGGCCGACCAGTACTTAGGATACCAACAGAGACCACTTACATAATTCTCAAACAACGCCGGAGCTGACAGGTTCAGATGTGACACCAGACACCTCACTTGGTCGAAAACAGGATGCTTGCAAGGCCGAACGTCGTGACACATGGAATTGTTGCCGTGTTGGTGCAAAGGTCTCCCAGATGAGAGCTTGCAGTGTGCGATCAACAGCACGGAGATAACTCCTGGTTGGAAAACAAAGCAGAGGTGGCAAATTTTAGTAAGAGAACCAAAAAGCAGGTGAGCCTCATAAGCTTTAGAATAGAATAACGGAGTTGGAAGGGACTTTGGAGGTCTTCTAGTCCAACCCCCTGCCTGGGCAGGAAACCCCAGACAAATGGCTATCCAACATCTTCTTAAAGACTTCCAGTGTTGGGGCATTCACAACTTCTGGAGGCAAGTTGTGCCACTGGTTAATTGTTCTCACTGTCAGGAAATTTCTCCTTGGTTCTAAGTTGCTTCTCTCCTTGATTAGTTTCCACCCATTGCTTCTGGTTCTACACTCAGCTGCTTTGGAGAATAGCTTGACTCCCTCTTCTTTGGGGCAGCCCCTGAGATATTGGAAGATTGCTATCCTGTCTCCCCTGGTCCTTCTTTCTATTAAACTAGACATCCCCAGTTCCTGCAACCGTTCTTCATATGTTTTAACCTCCAGTCCCCTAATCCTCTTCGTTGCTCTTCTCTGCACTCTTTCTAAAGTCTCCACATCTCTTTTACATTTTATCTCACTCTTTGTCATTTTCCCACCTTCGGTCCTGATTTTTTGCCACTGTTTACAATATTTTTTTAAAAAGAAAAACCGCCTTTGCATTTCGACTTAAGTCACATACTTCGTAGAACTTAAAGTGAAATATTTACCCCTAACCATTGTTTTTTTTGGACTGGCAAAATTTCCTAGATAAGTCAGGCAGACAGGAAGCTGCTTCGAACCACCGCTTTCTCCTTTGCGCAGAACTGCAAGCAGTTCACACATACAAGCAAAATGGAGCCGTTTCATGTCAGAACGGATATAAAAGGGGACGGGCGTGTGACCCATTCAATTGTAACTCCCCCCCCCCGGTGGTCATTAAGCAAACACAAACCCAGTCATAAATGCAGCCCTACTGCCAAACCTCCAATGTTCGTTCACATGAACACGGAAGGGGCCCAGCCATTGATATTTTGAAACCTAGGCCTTAAGAAGCCCCCTTTTTCCAGATTTGGTCATAACTTTTGCTAAGTTGCTAAGTGGACAGACATAAACCAAGAACTTGTCTCTACCTCGTTCCCGAGCCTCACTCCCATTCCATCAAGCCACTCTGCAACTAGCCAACCAGGCCGAATTAAGATTTAAAAGCGTTGCTCTTAAGGATATGCTGGGGTTTTGATCCGCGTCTTGGCTTGGATCCGAGTCAAGATACAGAATTTCAGAGTTGGAAGGGACCTTGGAGGTCATCTAGTCCAACCCCCCCCCTGCTCAAGCAGGAGAAACCCCCCCCCTCTAGATCATTTCAGACAAATATCTGTCCAATCTCTTCTTGAAACCCACCAGGGATGACGCAATCACCACGCCTGGAGGCGAGCCTGATCAATGTGTTGATTAACTGATGAATCGTTCTCACAATGTCAATAAATTTCTCCTTAATTCTAGATCGGATCCCCTTCGGACAAGGTATCTACCTTACATCTCGTGCTTTGGATAGCAAGTCAATCTCCTCTTCTCTACCAGCCCCTCAATTTGGCTCAAAACATCGGACATAGAAGGTGGAATAATAGATCTATTGGAGTCCAAACCTTTGTTTCGATCCTAATGACAGAATAACAGAGTCGGGACCTTGGGAGGTCTTCTAGTCCAACCCCACCCTGTTCCAGCAAGAGACCCGCCCACATATCATTCCAGACAAATACCTATCCTGTCTCTTCTTAAAAACCTCCCAGTGATGGGAGCCCCCACAGCTCCTGGAGGTTCTACTCGGGCCCCCGCAGTTGTGTCGAGAAACAGCTGAGGCCGCTCTAAGCATCACATCGCTGATTTCGTGCGCCCCGTCGATTTGACAGGCGACCAACAACACAAGAAGACTCACAAAGAGGGGATTTGATATGTTTGCCCTGGGAAAAAAATCTCCTCCCAACGGATGCTTAGCAGAACTCTAGCCTCCAGCAACGCAGAAGGATGATGAAGCAGAACAGAGATGGAAGAAGTCTAGAAAAAGAAGAGAAGGTGTCTCCCCCTCCCCACAAAAAAAGCAAGATTTCTGGAGGATGAAACAGAAGAAGAAAAAGGTCCCAGCCAGGATTTTTTAAAATAAAATAAAATAAAATAAACAACAGGGCAGAATTTTCAGTCTGGGCATGTCCCTCCACAAAGACAGGCACACACCTCTCTCTCTCTCCGGAGAAAGAGGATTGCACAAAACCCAGGGAATTCTGACACTCCGGGTTGTGATCTAGAGGAAGAAAACAGACTGGGAGAAAGGTTGCGCGGTGATGAAACCCACAAGCTGGAAACTGCAATCCAGCAGGCGTTACATCACACGGCACAATGTGGTTGTTTTTGCTAAGGCTGCAACGACAGGAAGGAGAATGCAAAGCTGTTTAAGTTTGGATTTTAAGGCAAAACCTTAAAGGGGGGGGGCTTCTTGAACCCTCAGTCTGCTGAGAACATGGCCCCCCATTTGGGTTTTTGACCGTTGAAGTTTGCAGTCATTCAGAAAGGCCTGCCCACATTGGCTAAAGCGCACCGACCTGTTCTGTAAAAAACAGATACCAAAGTATGCTCCTTCCATTGAAGGTGACTTCTTTCATAGCATCTAAAACTCCCCCCTTTTTTTATGATCCCCCGGTAATCCCTTAATTTGTGGTCGAATCAGGGTGACTGGATGGAGCTGAGCATTTACTGGCTGGATGCCCTTCCTGAAGCCTATGTGGAGTTCACAGCAGATATCTTTTTTTTTCTCTTCTCGCCTTTTCTTTCGTTTCTTTCACAGATAGCAAAATAGGCAAGCATATAGATCAAGTTAATAAATAAGTGAAGAGCATAGAGTTGGAAAGGAACTAAGAGGTCATCAAGTCCAACCCCCTGCCCTGGATGACGATCCATCTCTGTCAACAACTTCCAAGGGAAAGGGAAGGAAGGCGTGACATATTCCACTCTTAGTAGCCAGCAGCCTCTTCCTGATTTCTAATCTGTATTTGCATCCTTGAAATTTCATCCCGTTGATGCTTCCTGCGATCGAGAAGAAGGAGGCCTAAGGCCACCCAACTGCCTTTCCCTCTAAAGGTAAGACTTGAACCCACAACTTTCCATTTCTAACCCGATGCCTCTACCCCAAACTGGCCTTACCTCATCCTTACTTGCACACCCCCTCCCCAATTTTTCTTTGAAAAGCAAACACTTGCTAAGAAAAGCAGCTCTTTGATTGGTGAAGCAGATATTTTCCAGCCAATCCGGAATAGGCAAAAAGAAAACATTTCTAAAAACTTTGGATTAAATGCCCACATTTAGCCAAAGGAGGCATAAGAGAAAGGAATAATGCGAAAGTTTGCAATTGGTTCATTCCAGCTGCATACCTTGACAAGGTTCAATGGCAATCTGAAAACAACAGTCAAAACTTGGGAGGGGAAAAAAATTGGATTCATTATTGTCATTATTATTTTTACCTGCTACGAGAGATCTCATTGAAAGTTGCATCCTAGGGTGACGTAACAGCTGCTCGCAGAAGAGTTCATTCATAAAAGTGATGCCTAGAAAGGAACGTCGTGACTGGTTATATACCGAAGGAGACAGGGGGAGGGAAGTTGAGATCATTAATTACTTGGGCTGGGGGGGGAATATTTCTCCACACCCCCCCCTCCTTTGCATTTTTTAAAATACTTAAAAGCACACTTCAGAAACCAAGAAAGCCAGCTTCATGCTTACATCACGGGTGACTCAGCATAGGGGGGGAAAAAAAATCCCCCCCACACACAAACAGACACACACACACACACACACACACACACACGAACAATCATTTCACAACAGTGGAGTGGAAAAATAAAGGGGTGGCACATCGCCCCCTGCTGGCTTTGTACGATTATTAATTATTATTATTATTTATTTATTTTAGGCCATAAGAATAGATGAATTTCCGTGCAATAAAAAATGACGGAGAAGATGGAATGAATACAAGGAACCATCCAGAGGTTTAGAGTTGCTCCACCTTGGATGTTCTGGCCTATATATTTAAAAAAAAAATCAGAATAGAGTCGGAAGGGACCTTGTGAGGTCTTCTAGTCCAACCCCCTGTTCCAGGAGGAGACCCTATACAATTCCAGACAAATGGATGTTCTTAAAACCTTCAGTGATGGAGCAGCCACAACTTCTGGAGGCAAGCTGTTCCACTGGTTAATTGTTCTCACTGTCAGCAAATTTATTCTTAAGATCACAGAATCATAGGGCTAGAAGGGACCTTGGAGGTCTTCTAGTCCAACCCCACTGCCCAAGCAGGAAACCCTGTCCCATTTCAGACAAATGGCTGTCCAGTCTCTTCTGGAAAACCTCCAGTGATGAAACCTTCAGTGACCCACAACTTCTGGAGGCGGGTGGTTCCACTGGTTAATTATTCTCGCTTTTTTGGTAGATATTCTTGACTTGTCCAAAAGCCAAAGTTTGCAAACCTTTCGGGGAGAGTTTTCAAAGAGACCTTGAAAATGATTTGAAAGGAAGGATGTTTTTCTTTAAAAAAAAAAAAGAAGAAGAAGACAGTGGAGAGGCTGATAGGAAGTCAATTTCAGGTTTTAGATGGAGGCTTCTTGGAACAGATGATCATCCAATAGAAGAAAGAACCATATTCGGTCACCTATTTAGATGCGAAGAGAGTCGTTATGAAAAGAATATTCTGTGCCATTGCTTCTCAACTCCCAACAACTTTAAGAGGTGCGGATTTACAACTCCCAGAATTCCCCCAACACCGGCTTGGTTTAAGATATGTGGATTTTAGTTCCCAGAATTCCCCAGCCAAAAGTCTGGGAATTAAAAATCCAGACACTTTTCTACAGAGTCCGGACCTTTCGAAGTCTCTCTTCAGTTGAATGTTGGCCTGGACAACAATGTGATAAATAGCCCTTTGGATGTCATATGTCCACCCAAAAGAATCCCCCCCCCCCCGGCTATTTTATGTTCTGTAACAATTCTTACCTTTTTTGAACGAAAAGTTAGCGTGGTCAGTGCTAAGAATTCATATCTCTCTCGTTCCCTCCTCCACCCCTCTTTCTTCCTCTCTCTGTCTCTTTTTTTTTCTCTCTCTCCCTTTCTCTCTGTTTCTCTTTCCCCCCTTATTTTCTCTCCCTCTCTCTCCCCTCTCTCCCTTTCTCTCTCTTTCTTCCCCCTCTCTGTCTCTCTTTCTTTCTCTCTCTCTCTCTCCCTTTCTGTCTCTCTGTTTCTCTCTCTTCCCCCTCTCTTTCTTTCTCTTCCCCCTGTCTCTTTCTCTCCCTTTGTCTCTGTTTCTCTCTCTTTCCCCCTCTCTTTCTTTCTCTCTCTCTTTTATATCTCTCCCCCTTTCTCTCTGTCTCTGTCTCTTTCCCTATCTCTGTCTCTCTTTCTCTCTCTCTCTCCCTTTCTCTCTGTCTCTCTGTTTCTCTCTTTTTCCCCCTTTCTTTCTCTTCCTCTCTCTCTCTCTCTGTCTTTTTCTCTGTGTCTTTCTTTCTCTCCCTCTCTTTCTATTTCTCTCCCTCTCTGTCTCTTTCTCTTCCCACCTCCTCTCCTCTCTCTCTCTCTGTCTCCCTTTCTCTCTGTGTCTCTGTTTCTCTCTCTTTCCCCCTCTTTCTTTCTCTTCCTCTCTCTCTCTCTGTCTCTTTCTCTGTGTCTTTCTTTCTCTCCCTCTCTTTCTATTTCTCTCCCTCTCTGTCTCTTTCTCTTCCCCCTCCTCTCCTCTCTCTCTCTCTCTCAATGTCTCCCTTTCTCTCTGTCTCCCTTTCTCTCTGTGTCTCTGTCTCTCTCTTTCCCCCTCTCTTTCTCTTCCTCTCTCCCTCTCTCTGTCACTATCTCTTTCTCCCTTTCTTTCTCTCTTTCTCTCTGTCTATCTCTCTTTCACTCTCTCTCTTTCTCTCCCTCTCTTTCTTCCTCTCTCTCTCTCTCAAGAATTTATGCCGTTGGTATGTGATGCAATATAGATATTTACAAAAGAGGTTTAACTAAATTAGATTGGGGGGGGGGGTGCAAGGCACACCCTTTTAGGTATATTTCTTAGACATTAGTCAGCGGTTCTATTTTTACCCACCAGAGAAAGGAGAAGATCTCTTCTCTTGACAATTCACAGCCAGGAGTTTCCCTTCACTTTTTTTCTTGTCAAATACATTCCCAGTCTTCAAACCTTCAGGCTGCATTCAGACAACCTACCTAATAAGTCGAGTGAAACACGCTAGGTTTGGTTTGCGTGTGAATGTTGGCTGGCTGTCGTGACCACAGGGAGGCCTCGACTTATAACCAATCGTTTTAATGACTGCTGAAAGTTACGATGGTGCTGGACAAAGTGACTTACAAACTGGTCCTTGCATTTACAACTGTCAATCAAGTCCCTGCGGTCAGGTGATCGAAATTTGGCCACTTGGCAATTCACATGTTCATGTTTACAATGGTTGAAACACCCCGGGGTCGTGCCTGTGACTGTCATTTAAACAAGCTTGCCAGCCAGCGTCTGAAGAGCAAAATCAGAGGGTAAGCCAGATTCGTTTAAGGTAAAGTTTCCCCTCGCACACAGCGGCTTGTTGTTCCTGACTCTAGGGGGCGGTGCTCATCTCCGTTTCAAAGCCCAAGAGCCAGCGCTGTCCGAAGACGTCTCTGTGGTCATGTGGCCGGCATGACTCAACGCCCCTGAAGGCGCATGGAACGCTGTTCCCTTCCCACCAAAGGTGGTGCCTATTTTTCTACTTGCATTTTTTACCTGCTTTCGAACTGCTCGGTTGGCAGAAGCTGGGACAAGTCACGGGAGCTCACTCCGTTAAGCAGTGCTAGGGATTCGAACCGTCGAACCGCCGACCTTTCTGATGGACAAGCTCAGCGTCTTAGCCACTCAACCACCGTGTCCCTAATATAATACTATAATAACAATAATACATAACATCTTCTTTAACAACTCTCCACATTAATATTTCCTCTTTTTATATCTCCTCCGTTCTGATTTTCTGTGTTTCTGTTGTGCTAAAGCTATTGATAAAATGCATCCCATATCAACC